GGGGGGGGGGGGAGCGAGCAAGGTGGAGCGTCTCTGCTGCGTGTTTGTGTTGCCCTTGTGTTCATGGACCCCCCTCCGTGTTTGTGCAGCCGCGCGACAGCGAGACGTGGATGAGAGAACGTTAGTTTGCCCCGCACAAGAGGGAGGGGAAAACGCACAAAAAAGACGAGAACACATGTGTGTGTGTGTGTCTGCATTATATCTATATATATATATATATGTATCTGCCCGTTTCAGCGAGGGACCGATAGGTCTCATGGAAGCTGCAGGAATTTTGTTTGTTTCTTTCTTTTGTATTTGTTCTCTGCTTCAATCACGTATATACACGCATACATACATACATACAACACAAAAGCCAAAGTAGAGAAGCAAGAGGAACCGTCTCTTTTCTTGTTTTTGGTTTGCTCATTCTGTTTTCCCACTTGCTATTGCTTCGTCTTCTTGACTCCCGCCAGAGCCAAATCCGCGACTAACGTCTCCCCCCAATTCGAACCTGCGGAGGAATGAAACGTATCTTGGCGAAGGATCTGGCGGCTAACGTGCTGCAGCTGCCCCGCCTGGCCATTCCGCCACTCGAGGTGACAGCGGAACGGTACCGAACCTCAGTCGTTCCACTGAAGCCGGCGGAGACCCTCAAGCCGCACTTTCAAAAACTGGATATGTTCGTCAGCAGCTCCGCTACGGCGCTTCAGAATGCCCTCGTGGAGGCAGATAAGGCAGCAGCAGCGAGTGGCGGATACCCATACTCTTACATTGAGCCTATTTGGGACAAGACGTACTTGTGCAACCGTGCCCCGCTGCTCGTGAACACCAATCCGGCTATTTTTGTAAAGAGGCTGAAGAACGCGGGTAACACGCAGGTGGGTGTGGCAGCAGCCATTGTGCACAGCATCGCCAAGTGGGTTCAGAATGTGCTGAAACAAGGCGTAGAAGTACGTAACACAGACTTGGATGTATCACCGCTGCTGCGGCAGTTTGGCGCCGCACTCATTCCGGGCGAAACGGCGGACGAGTTTCACACAACACCACTAGAGAAGTTACGCCATATAATTGTGTTGCACGATGGTCACCCATACGCGGTTCGTGTCTTTGATGATAACCAGGTCCCACTCGAGCGGGCCGTGATACAGCGGTGCATCGAGTTTCTCCTGTCTATCACACCTGACGCCGACAATACAACATCCATCTCGCTGCTCACTGCTAGCAGTCGGCAGACGTGGGCAGGCGCGTACGCCGAGTTAGTCAAGACGCCAGAGAATGCGGAAACCCTCAAGAAGATGCAAGAGGGCATGGTGGTGGTTTGCCTCGACACGAAAAAGTGGGAGGGGGACAACAAGCTAGTGAATGGGGCGATGCTGCACGGCAACCAGGAAGAGTCGGAGAACAGGTGGTACGACAAGCACCAAATCATCGTCTCTGCGGACGGTCAAGTGGCCTTTAACTTTGAGCACTCCGGCAGCGATGGTGTGCAGTGGGCGCGGTGGGTCGGCGACGTCATCAGCGGCGTTGAAAGCGCCGATGCAGGCAGTGCCACCGCTGCGGCGACTGCTGCTGCTTCAATCGATGCGGCTCGGGTGACCCCGTTGGTGGAGCATCTCCATGTCACCATCGGCAAGGCGTTTGCAGGACGCATCCGCAGCGCACGCACAGAGGCGTTGGAGTTAATCGCCAATACTGCGTTGGAGGATGTGCGCCTGCCCTTCGGCAAAAAACAAATCAAACAGCTCGGTGTGAGCCCTGATGCGTTTGTGCAGATGTGCTACCAAGTGGCGTTTCATAAGTGCCGCAACAAGCTCGCCCCCACCTACGAAGCGTCCTCCACATCGCGCTTCTTCCATGGCCGCACCGAGACAATTCGGTCGGCAACGCAGGAGATGCTCGCCCTTGCGGAGGCCGTCAACAAGGAGACAAAGGAGGTGGCGGCAGTAAGCGAGACAACGCAGGCGGCGTTGGTGGGGCTCGTGAAGGCCGCATCCAACCGCCACATCGCATTGGTGAAAGCTTCTGTGAATGGTGAAGGCGTTGACAGGCACCTGACGGCGCTGCGGCAGCTGGCGGTGAGTCGCAACGATGAGGCTGCCCTCAACTTCTTCAACGACGATGTCTACAAGTCATGCAGCACGTGGACGCTCAGCACGAGCAATATGTCGTACGCATGGATGGACCGCTTCGCATTCGGTCCGGTGACACACAACGGCTACGGGCTCGGCTACGTCGTGGACGAGCAGGAAGTGCGCATCGTGCTCTCCGCCTTCAACAGCAGCCCATCGACGAACGTGAGCGACTTGAAGGCCGCTATCACGTGGGCCGCGACGTGTCTGTATGACGTGCTGGGCGGTCCCAAGGCTTGATCGGTGTATGTGTGTGGTGAGGGTTTTTGTCACAGGCGCAAGCAACAGCGCCAATGGGGGATGTCAGCGCGTCAATGAGGGAAGAAGAGGAGGGAGCGGAGCAGTCGCCAGTTGGTGTTTCTCGTCTTTCTCCTCCGGCTCCCCAACTCGCCTACACCAGGTGGTTTCGTCTGAATTGCCGGTTCATCACAACACACACACGCACAGAGAGAGAGAGAGAGAGAGANACAACAAAAAGTAAAGAAAAGGGAAACGGGAGTCCGACGAAATGGGCTGTGCCTACTCTAGCGGGTGCGGATGCGGAGAGGGGACACAACGAGAATAGTGCATTTAGGTGGGTATTTCGTAGCGTCACACAAAGGGTGGGGGAACATGGAAAGAGGAAATATGCCGCAGAGAGACAAGAGGCAGAAGAAGGCATCGGGCATATGCCCTGCTTGCCATACGAATACAATCCTTTGATTCTCTCTTTTTTTTTTTTTATTATCATAAAAAAAAATGAAAACGTGCAAAGAGAAAGGGAAACGATACCGCAACACAAGGTGACACATGCATGCATGCATGGCCAATCCATATACACGTACACGCACTTGCACGACGAAAAACTTCCAACGTAGGGAATGTGGGTGAGGATATTTTTTCCACGAAGTCCCGCTTCTGTGTGTCGGTGTATGTGTTTCGTGGTGTGTTTGTGTGTCTTTCCATGTGTGTGTGTGTGTGTTGCCCACGTATCTCTCTCTTTCTCTCTCCGCGACGGCTGCTGGCCTTCATTTTGTTTTGTTTTTGGGGGGCACAATCCCTCGTATTTCTTTCCCGCTGTCTGCTCTCTGTATGTCTTTGGTCACCTCCATCTTTTTCATGTAGCTGTGTGTGGGGAGGTCTAGAGAAAAAGAAAACCCGCTTTTTCTTGCGGGGGGGGGGCTTCGTGTAAGCATTGCTTAGAAGACGAAGGGCTCACTGCTTTAACTACGCATTCTATTCCGCGCCAGGTGACATGTCGTTGGCTTCGTCGGGTGTGGCGAATGCGCAGCAGCAGATTCTCGCCAGCCTCTCGCTGGCGGGACAGGAGGCGGTGCTGTTCGCCACATTGCAGCGCGATCTCGCGTTGGACCAGCGCACAGCGGCAGACGCACTGCGAAGCCTCATGGAGGCGGGGAAGGTGGTGTTGCGTCGCGGCAACAACGACGGCAGCGTGTACGTTGCGCTCACGAACACAATGCCGGAGGGGCCGTCGCTTGTCCTCGATGCGATACGAGCCAGCGGAAACAGCGGGATTGATCAGCCCACACTGTGCAGCAAGGTTCGCCTTCCTAAGAGTGAAATTATAAAGTCACTTCAGCTTCTTGTGGCGCAGAAGCGCATCAAGGAGCGGCGCTGCTTCTCCAACCGCGCCAAGCGCATCTACCTGCTCTTTGAGTTCGAGCCCAGTGATGAGGTGACAGGCGGAACATTCTACGGCGGCGAGGACTCCCGCGAGATGGATGTGTGGTTCGTCGACGAGATGCGGAGACGCGTTGTGGCGCTCGTGGCGCAGCGCCACTCTGTCTCGCTGGAGCAAATCGCGCAGCACCTGCAGGAATCCTACAGCAGCAGCAGCGGTGCTGGGGCGGATGCGGCCGCCGGTGGAAGTGGCGGTGGAGGCGGCGGCATCGTCGTCGTGACGGCGCT